AAAACGTTAAAGAAAAACAAGCTAAGATTTCCTTGTTAATTTAAGCAATCCAAACACCAAGCCTGCAAAGATGGCACAGCCTGGTGAGGTTCCTGGCCTGTCTGTTACGGTACAAAGCAAATCACCTAAGCAACACGTTCCTGGACAGGTACATGGGACAAGGCCCTCAGGGAGCAAATGTGCCTCAAGAGGTACAAGATGAGAAGTTCCACCTGTAGCTTACCTTGAAGACTGCAAGGTCACTTTGGCAAGAACATGACACACTGATTTAGACTGTGAACCAAAACACTTGCTACTGAAAACATGACACGGCAGTTATCTGCTAAGTTATTTTAACCTTTTTAACTTGGAAAGTTAGGAAACGAACCTAAGTAATTTCAGGTTTAAGTCTAAAAATTTATTATCTGTCAAAATATTACAAGGAACCACACACTGAAGTCACAAGTTCATGGGGAGAATGATACCTGACGAAGACATCACCTAGAAAAACAAATGCTTCTTCATATCTGAAATGAAGAGTTGGTCTGTAGGATCCATGTAAAGAGAATAATGTGAAAAACAAGAGAAGCTCTCAAACAGGCAAAAATATGCTAGAATGCAGCTGCTGTCAGTGAGAGTGCACAGCCCCTGACAGGCAATTATTCTTTGATCTATTGGCTGAAGCACTGAACAAACATTCTGAAATTCCACACAGAACCTTGTGCATATCACGACTGTGGTCACAATGACCAGTTTACTTTTATCATGAGGAGCCTTTTCAGGGCAGTGATAGTAAGAACCATTCAGAATGAGACAGTTTTCCTCCAAGGCGTATAGTCCAGGAAGAGGGAATTTAATCATAAATTCAGTTGCCCTTCCAGCAATGAAACCATTACTTACCAACTCCTGGACACAAAGATGTATCTACATATGTAATTGCTCACTGATGGGGACAAAAGCTACATTCAGCACTGCAAAACAGATTTTTCTCATCTGTAATTCTAAAGGAATAAGCCAAGTGTTTCAAGTGTGACCCTACAGAAAAAAATGGAAGAAACTGACACGAAGGTCTGGCACAAGCCTTTTCAGCATCCTCTGTCTACTCTGTAATTCCTGAATGGGGAGTAGTGGTGACAAATTTAAGGACTTCTTTTAGAGTGTTATTTAATTAAGTGTGAGGTAATTTTTACATCAAAATATTCAAGGTAAAGTCCATGACCTACAGAAACACAAGCTTTGCCACCAGGTTATTAAACAGATTCTAACTGCAGCAAATTAAAAATCAAGAGTTACAAGTCAAAGCCCCAACAATGAAACAGTCCACCCTAATTTTATGTCACTTTACACACAGCTTGAGCTCTAAAACCTAGCTCCAACTTTTAATCACAATAACTACAATTTCAAGAGTCAGTCTTTGGATTTCTCCCTCTCCCTCTTCTCCTGTTCCACTCTCCAGCGTGACAGTTTTGTCTTTGCTTAGGCTTCACCACCAGCAACACAATTACACCACGGCAAGCCCTGTGCCTAGAACAGCTTGTACGAGTGCTGCATTTGAGTTTGGCCAAGATGCAGTGAGATGAGGCAAGTCACAGCCTCGCTCCTCCATGTGGATACAACAATGCACCGTGATGACAGCTCAAATCCTGGCATAGCCAATGCTTCGGGAGCAAACACACTCCCAAAATCTTCACCAGAACCCCAGTGCCTACAAAGACACATACATAATTACCTCTTGGTTCTGACTGAGGATTGAAATACACATTCAGGAGACAGCTTTCCCACTATAAAGCAGGATTTAGAGCCATTCTGCTGGAAGCACTGGCTGTAAAGCAAACTGAAGCGAGAGCTGGAGCTCGTAAAAGCTTATTCACAGAAAAGGTGCGTATTAAAACCGAATAGCACAGCACTAAAATGGTCTGCCAAGCCACAACGCAGTGTAGGTACAGCAGGAGAACAGACCCTTTCTGCCCCCTGCAGTTCCCAATGCTCCCTGGATTTTTAAGACAGGCTTAGGAGGGATAGTAGTTACCATTCTAGAACCAGAACCATTTACATCTGGCTCTCACCAATGCCAAGGCATTTTTATACTTACCTTCATCTGAACAACAGTTAAATTGTCCAGTGCCTTCCATAAAGATCAATTACATATATGGAATGCTTTTGTGATAAACATATAATGTGACTGTCCTTGATCATGTAATAAAAAGAATATCACTTGCTAATAAACCTTTAATTTAGCCTTGTCATTTTGATGATTAGGATTAAGAAGAATCTTCACCAATAAACAGGTGCTCTTAAGCAGTCACAGCTTGCTCCTAGAATATATATATACTTATACATAATATACGTGTATGTAAACTATTAAAGGACAAAGGATTGTTTTCGAGTTATATGGACTATCCAGCTAATTTTATTTCTAGTTATTAGACTATAAATATGCCACCAAACAGAAAACATCCTTTTTCTAATTTTACATGTAAAACTGTCAGGCAAACATATGTACAGAGAATTTCAGTGAATTAAAATTCCATGGAAGGTCTCATGTTCATATAGAGAAAGGGTGAATAAAGTACCATAACTGTCATTTATAGCCTTTTTTTCAGTCCTTACAAACATAGACAGGGAATTAGATCCCAATTTAGCTACCCAAAATGTTCCCCCGTATTGATCATGTACACCCACATATTTCAGGTGGGCCGGATTCAGAAACTGTTTTCATACTGGCAACCTGCTTTAAAAAAAAAGCGGGGGGAAAAGCATTTTTAGCATGTATTAGGAAAACTGGTGTTTTCCCTGGGCTGACAGATAATTTTGAAACAATCCTGTTCTGCTTTATGAGCCTAGCTGTGCAAAGAGGAAGTGAGAACAGATTGATTACAATGGAATATTCTGTATTTTCAGCTGTTTTCTCAAGCAATGATGAACACATCCCTACATTAGATTTCAGAAGGAAAAAGCTGTTGCAGCACACAAGAGGTATGCAGGTTACACAGGATGTTCCATATTTAGAAAAAGGTAATTTTGCTTATGAAATTTTATTTTCATTCTTCCACATAGCATTTGCTTTATATTTGTCTCAGACATCTTCATACCTCACTTGCCATTTTTTTCTTCCACAGCACAGACACGATTTTTTCTCCATTTAAGCTGAAAGCACCATCAACTATAACCCAATTTGTATTTTAACATGCTATAGGCAAAATAAACCCAGATTTTGACTAATATACTCCATAATATTGACCTGTAGGGAATTGTAAGGTATTTAAAACAAGTCTGGCTATACTTTGCAGGGCTATCAAGTAATTAAATCCATTTAACACGTATTTCTTCTCAGATTCCATTTTTTCCTCTTTAGGTAAAAAAATTGGGAAATTGGATCATCCTGAGAACATGAACTGAACATAGAGAAATGGTTTGGCACCTCACCCTTTAAGTCCATCCTTCATGCTCTAGTTCTATTACAAATAATAAGCTGAGCAGCTTAATGCAAAGCACTGGGATAAGAAAGTTTTCAATGGGTTGTTCGAACAAAAACACAATCCGTGCTGTCCCAAACCCCAAGTTTTGCTCCGTGCAGCTGCTGCCTTCCCCTCCTCAGTCACCAATGCGACGACTGACAGAAATCTGCCAAGTCACTTTGAAGTAAAAACTAGTTGATTCTAGGGAAAAACAGTAATTAGTTGCACAGTGCATAGAGCAACCCTCCAGAAAGATGCATGGGTATAAGGATGTTATTATAGGAGATAGGTAGGGAAAAACTTTCCTGCTTTTTGCCTGGTTTACAGGGATTTTTTCCAGGCGCCAACAGCTCCCAGAGCAAACCCCTCCTGCCCTTCCCTGTACTCCAGGCTGAACCAGTTCCCTTCCCCTGCCCCACCAGAGCAGGAATCCCCTTTTCCAAGTGGATTATCAGCACTAACAGCTTTGGTAGGATTTTTTGGGGTTGTTTTTTTTTTTTTTTTCCTTTTTAAGGAAAACCACACACATAACCGAGCCAGCCGCAGCCCCCGGCGCCGGGACCCGCTCCCAGCCATTGTGCTCCGCTCAGCCCCCCGGGCTCGGGCGCGGCCCCGCGGGGCTCCACAAAGCTCCGCCACAGGCCGGACGTGCCCGGTGCCCCGGGCCTCCCCTCCCCCCGGTATTCCGGGAAACCTCCGGGAGGAGGAGGAGGAGGAGGAGGAGGAGGAAGCGGCGGCGCTGCGGAACAGCCCCGCTGCGGAAAAGCCGGCGGGGCAGGTGGCAGGGAGGGAGGCCCCGCCGGGGCTCGTTCCCTCCTCCATCCCGGTGCCCCCCCTCGCCATCCCGGAGGCACCGAGCGCTTCCTCCTCCCTCCCCCCGGGACCGCGTGCGGGAGCTCGGGCCCACCTGCCCCGTGGGGAGGGAAGGAGGGAGGGCTAGAGGGGGACCGGACCCGTCCCCTCCCCGAGGCGGCGGCGGGTGGGTCGGGGAGGGAGGGAAGGAAGGAGGGAAGGGAAGGGAAGGGGGGTGGATGCGAGCCGCCCCCGGTACCTTGCGCTTCCTGGTCTCGGCCGAGCCGCTCCACACGAAGCACTGGTAAATCGCCCGCAGGTTCTGCTTCCAGTTCTCCACCTTGAAGCCGGTCACATGGCAGCACCCGGCCGCCGGCGGACTCATGTCAGACCCCCCCACATCAATCCGCCCGCACACGGGCCGGGCCGGCGGGCAGCGAGCCGGCCCCTTCCCCCGCCCCGCAGCACCGACACGGGCCGGGGCCCCCCCGCCCTCAGGGGCTCCGGCCCCTCACGCCGCCGCCGCCGGGGAGCCGCTGGCACATAGAGCCGGGGCTCCGCCACGGCCCCCCGGCTCCGAACAAAGCGCGGCGGGCGGGCAGCGCGCACTCCCTCCCGCCCTTCTCCCGCACACACAAAGATGGGGCGCTCTGAGGCGAGGAGAAGGAGGAGGCGGCGGCTGTAGCGGCCGCTGCCGCCCCCGGAGTGGCCGCCGCTCCCTTCTACCTCATAGAGGCCGCTGTGGAAGCGGCGGGCGGAGGGGAAGGGAGGGGATGGGGGCGCTGGCGGCGGCGACCCCGGCCGCGGTGCGAGCGGGCGTGTGTGGGGAAGGGGACGAGTCCCCGCCCGCCGCCGCTCCGGCTTCCCCCGCCGGCGCCCGCACGGCTCTTGTCCCTTTAAACCGCCCCCCCGCCTCCTTCGCCGGCTCCTTCCTCCTCCGCCTCGCCCGCGCCCCCCCCGCCCGCCGCGAGCAATGGTCCGAGCCGCTCACTCAACCCAGCCCGCCCGGCCCGGAGTGGGATAGACCAACGGGGAAGGTGCGGGAGGAGCGCCCCCTCTGCCCCGCCGCCGGCGAGGGAGGGAGCGGCGGGGGGAAGGAGCGCGGCGATTGGTCCGCATCCCTGTCAATCTATGCATCTCTACTGTCTCATTGGTTCCTTTCCCTTTCTTCTCTCCCCCTCCACCCTTCCTACCTAGCATTTCCCCCGCCGGAAAGAGGCGGGACATCCCGGACGATTAACAGCTTCTCTGACCAACGGAGATAAAAGGTGGGGTCTGTGTGGTGGGAGCGGCGGTATGATTGGTTGGCATGGACGTCAGTCACGTTGCAAGCGGAGATCGGATTGGCTGTGTTCGCGAGGGGGCGGTCCCTCGCGCAGCGGGCTGCGGTGCTGTCACATCCGCTGGTCCCGCTCTCGCTGCTCCCTCAGCGGTCTCCTGAGGGGACCGGGACCGCCGGGCTCCCGGGAGAGGCTCCGCGCCGCGCTCCCAGCGCTCCCAGCACCGTGTATGGTCCCTCCAGACCGCCAGCCTGCATCCTGCTGTTCCACAGGGAAGAAACAAAAGCGCTGTATAACCAAAACTGGTGTTATTTCGGCTTCTTCCTATACAAGGAAATGGGAAGACAGTGGAAAAATGTTGGAATCTCTACATAGTTTTCAGCCTGTATGCCACACACACACTATAGGGTTACTTAATGGAGTGAGGCAGGAGGGAAAGGATGGGAATTATGCCGTGGTTTCTGAAGAGAGAGGCCGGAGGCTTTGCAGAGGCTTCTTAGACAAGCACTGCAAACACTGTGCAACAAGGAAATAAATGGTGAAGTGCCACCACTTTATTTCACCAATCCCACTTTTCAGTGCGTGTTAATCACATTCCTTGGGAGCTGTAACCTTGAAATCTTCACCTTGCAGATTTCCTTATAGCGCCCAGTTTCCTCACCCGCTGCTGCAGCTAGCAAGAAATAAATACAAAAATTAGTGACAATCACCTGAGGACTTTTCATTTCCTCCTGAGGTGCTGCTGTTTTAAAAAGAAAGCAAGGTGGGTAGTAGGAAACTTAGTTTATGATTTGTGTGTAGCTAGAAGGTTTGGTGGCAAAGAAAAGGGAAGAGCTGGGTTTGTGGCCCAGGCTGGGACAGCAGCAGGACATGATGTCCTCCTGCGTGGGACACCTGTAATTGTTCCATCTCCTGGCTCACACTGCTTATTAGCCTCTCCCAGAAATACCTCTTCCACACAGTCTGGGGATTATGCTCCAGTGATAAACCTGGAATTGCCCCACAGGTGGGAAAAAAAAATGCCAAGAGCCAGGAGAGGACCCGATTATCCCACTGTGTACACAAATTGCACTGAATGTTTCAGAAGATTATGAGTGGAATGTGGAGGGAGGCTGTACCCTCTCTTTGACCCTGTGTAATCATTAGACCTATTAAGTCATCACAGTGCAGCCTACACTTCCTTGGAAAGGGAACAGGAATTGGTGCTGCACATCCTTCCTGTGTTAACCCAACTTCCAGGAGAATTAACCAGTTTTCAAAAGCAGGAGTCAGAGAGAGCCAGCCTCTCCCCTGAGAAAACCACCCTCAGAAAAGAGGGAAGTTAAGGATTGTCTACTTAAGGTGCATAGAAGGGAACAGGATAGGTGACTAGTGTCCTAACAGCATCTAATAATTATTCTCTGAATATTTCCAATTAAACAAAACCTCTGATTTTGCTGCAGTCTAAATACAAGCAGAAAGTTATTCTTATTCTGCACCAACCTACTGTTACTAATCTGGGGCTTTTCTCCATGGCTACCACATCAAAACAGGAGATAAAGATAAAAGAGAGAATTTCTGCCAATGAAATTTAAGTCCATCTCGTTGAAAAAACAGGATACCAAAGAGACAATACATATGTTCAATGTCCTGCAGACTCTGAAAATTTCACAGAGATTTCTGTTCCACTCTATCTTGCAGAGTCCCTGTGTTTACTCCCTTTAGGGTGTCTTGTGTAGAAATAACAAGAATTGTGAGTTTAAACACAATTGCTTTAAGAAACACCTACTTTTTTAGTGGTTCTCTCTCAAAGAGAGAACCTTTGGAAAAATACTGATCTTTCTCTCTGGCTACTTCCAGAACAATTAGCAGAGTTACCTACTCCTGTCCTGCATCTGCTAAGGATGTGAGGAGCACCCTCTGAGCCACAAAGGACCCACATGGAGGACACCCATCCTGGAGCACACCTGCTGAGACCCACTGTCATTTCCCAAAGGTATCAATGTAGAAATTGAAAGATCACTCTTAGGGGATATTTCCAAAGTATAGACATTACCTTTCAAACTTAAAGCTCCCCCAAGGTTCGCTTGGCACCTTATTCTCTGTAAAAGGGGTTTATTTATGCTAGAAATTCAACTTGGGCTTCTTGTGGTAAATTGGAACCAGAGTAAAAATCCACTTTGGAACAGTGTAGAAAACGGTGGCTTTGGAGATTTTTTGAGACCAATTCCTAATTTGGGGGGCTTGAGACAAAACTCTACACATGTCATTAAACCGTTTGCTTTCTGTCCTGTGAAGACAACAGAATCTTTCCTATGAAGTATAAAAACTTCCAGCTCTACAAATATTTCTTGCTTGTTGCAGCCCACACACTGAAGGTGACACAACAGCAGAGCAGCAGCCAAAACAAAATAGGAGTGGAAAATAGTGACAACATTTTGTCAGGTAGTAATTGTCAAATCAGGGCCTGCTTGCTGCACACACACACACACACACACACAAGTTTACAAGTTTGCTGTAGTTTAATTTACTCTTGGGCATAGCTTGGGAATGTTTCTAGAATAAAACCTTTTGGTGTAGCAGATAGCTTGGGAAAGGATTTGCCTCTGGGGGAAGGAAAGAGTTTCATTCTCTCCTGTGTCTCTTGGAAGAATTTTTAATTTTAAAGCATTGATGATTATGCTAATTAGTGCTTACCCTCAAATGCCAGTGGAATATAAATGTTGATAGTAGCTAAAACACACTGCAAATGTGCAGCAAAGTCTTCCTCCAGAGAGCCATCTGCATTCCATGATAGCTCAGCTGGGGAGAAGCAGCATTCTTCACATGGAAAAGCAAAGTAACTGCCTTTTCTATCCATGCCATCCCAAGGTGGCACTTCTAGGCTCCTCTGGATATCCATGAATTAGCTGTTACCTCATCACTTGGGCATGCTTTGCCATGATGTGTGTTAAAATGTCCAATTTCATCCTCAGGAACCTTTCCCTTTGATCAGGTGTGTGAGCAGCATCAAGGATTTAGGTAGGATTCCTCCCATAACCCTGGATTACAAGTGGAGCTGGCCTAAGTTTGGACCTGCAAGAGGCTGAACCCCTGGCTCCACAAGTGGATTTGAAGGGAGATGTTCAGGAGCTTTGCTCCTGCAAGCACAAGGCTCTCCATGCTAATAACCAGTACAGAATATGTGAAGGTTCCTCAGTACCTCTCCTGCAGTTTTTCAGACATTCTAAAAAATACAAGTTTTTCCACATTCTAAAAGGAAAAAAAAAAAAATACAGAACAACTCTGCTTATCAAAACACAGAAGAATATTTTAAAGACTAAAAAACATTTTTATCTCTTAAAAATTACCCTATTTTTAATCTTCAGGAATTTTTTCTTCCCTTGAGCTTAAACCTTTTCTCATCCAAGCATTGTAAATATCCATCCAAGTAGTACTGCCATTGCTTAATCCACAGGCTTTAAAGCAGATGAGGCTGAATGTCTGGCTGCAGGGCTAAAAGCTCTGGAGATATCACAGGCAGAATCCATTGTGTGATTCTGCCTGAAGCTGATTGCTTCTGAATCCCTGTGAAGTTCAGCTGAGTTACCTCAGATACCTGAAGGTGTGTAGGGAAACACTGGTACCTGTCATTTATCTTGGGGATGGAGTACTGACCTTGCTACAAAACCAAATGGGTTGTAAAGTCCCAGCTATGCCAGCTTCTCTAAAAAGCCATGTTTTCATCCCAATCCATTGGCAATGGTGCCTGGTAGGTACCAGAGCAGAGATTTCCATGTGGCTCAGCCTTAGCATAGGACACAGAGTGGTTTCTTGAATCCACAACGTTCCATGATAAAGGATTGGTTCAGCTGAGCAGATCCTGCCAGAAAGATGATTGTCAGTCCAAGGACTGCACAGATAGGTGGATTTCAGTGGATAAATCTGACTTTGGACTTGGTTATCAACTCTTGACCTGCTCCCTTGGAATCATGGCCCCCTGTATAGCAAATTAAAAGGTACTAACACTAAAATTCGTTGTCTTTGAAATATTTTGCAGATCTCTTCAAAGCAGTGCTCAAGACTCCAAGGATTCATGGCCCGTGGATTGAAAATAGTCCTAGAAAAACACAATGCCTGTGCTTATTTTTCTGACGTTAGATTTCCCGTCAGCACTGTCAGAGGGTGAAATCTTGGCCCCAGCTGAACTCAACAGGAATTTTGCCACTGACTTGAATAGAGCTAAAATGTCACTCCTGCTATTTGTCAAGGCAATTACATCCAGACAATACTTTAACATCTGGCTTCAAGTGAACACACAGAGCAGTTCACTCTCTCAGTCTCTGAAGACAACACAGGACATTGGCTATCTCCATAAAAAATGAAACATTTGTTCTTGGCAAGCTGCTTGTAATGGAGAGGGGATCCATCCAGTGACATCCAGGAACCAAGTCCCTGTTCCTTAGCCTATAGTTATTGGCAATAGCATCAATAGACTTTCTGTCACTTTCTGGGAAGAATGTCAAAAGCACCCATCTACTGTTGCAAGTCATTCTGTTGTAAAAACTTTGTTTAGAACAGCAGATCTGGCCTCATCTGTGGTTTCTCACAGACGAGGGGGGTTTTCACCCAGTTCATCTTCTGTTTCCCAAGGCACTGGAAGGTCCTTTGTTAGGTCAGGAAGCAACATTTCTATCTAAACCTTTCTCTGAGTATGGTGGTCAAAGATAAGGCTGAAGGACAACTGACTATAGGTGAACAAATGGTGTGAGCTCACTTCCCTTTCTAAAAACCCACCTGAGACAAGGCAATATTGATTTATTGCAAAATATAAAGGTTCGGTCAACCTCAAGTGGGGCACACCTTTTTCTGGCAGGGAAAAATAAAAATCCTATATATAGAATGATTTGATCAGTGGTGATTTAAAAATCTATTTGAATGGGAAGAACCACAGGATCATAGAATGGCTTTGCTTGAAACAGATATGAAGATTATCCAGTTCCAGCCCATGCTGTGGCAGGGACACTTTCCACTAGACCAGGTGGCTTTAAGCCCCATCCAACCTGGCTTTGAACACTTCAGAGATGGGGCATTCCAAACTTCTCTGGGCATCCACAACTTCTCTGAGTCATTGGATGATGTGTGGAAGAAGAGAGATGTACAAAGAGAGGGGCTTTTATGCATCAGGTAGACAGGGATCTGTTCCCAGCTGGTGAGTTGCTGTACTGCTCACCTGTGCAAAACCAGCTTCCCTTGGTCTCCTTCCATCCCCTGGGATGCAAAGCCAAACTCAGTCACCAGCATCTGATGAGCCTTAATTCCCAGCACTTAAATAATTAGCTTCTCAAATGTACAAAAACAACTCTCATTTTCTGGATTAATGAGGGGAGCTGGGTTCCACTGAGCACAGCTATTATGGAGCTGCTAATGCAGTGTTTGATTCCGTGGCTGCCACTGAGCACGGAGCAGTCGGGCCCCTGGGAGAGCAGGAACACGGGGAGAGCAACGCTGCAGGGTTAAAGTGGAAGCCAGCAGGGGAAACCCTGGCAGTGCTTTGTGGGTTTATGCAGGGGGAGGGATGGTTTTATTTCTGTGTCTGCTGAGTCTCATCTGGGTTGATGATGATGCCACATAACCCAAATGAAGGCTGAAGCTCAGGCAGATCCTGAGGGAGGGTAATTTGCTTTAATCACCGGCCAGGTAAAGGCAGTTTCTAAAGCTGGGCAACAAAAATGTGACACAAACAGAAATCTAAAACTTAGGTAGTCACACAGCAGCTTCTGCCCAC